AAATATTAACAAAATTAGTTACGACACGTGTCAATATCTTATCATTTATAATTGACTTATTTGTTTATTTTTATTAATAATTTTTAATATATAATTTGTTATAATATTTATTTTATATATTTCTTTTTTCGATAAGGTTAATAATATTTCTATTTTATCCAAATATTAACAAAATTAGTTACGACAAGTGTCAATATCTTATCATTTATAATTGACACGTGTCACGATTTTGTTAATGTCTAACTTTGAAAACCAAAATTTATATAATAAGATAGTAATATGCATTGAATTTAACAGATCAATAAATGGGAAATTAGTATTTTCGATAAAATAAAATATCTACATACAGACTATAGAGTTGGAAGGATATATGTATATATGGAAAAGCTGACTGTCACCTCATATAAATAAAAGGATTCATCTTACTTACACTTGCAACCAAGAAAATTAAAAAAAAAAAAAAGAGAGAGCAAATAAATCACATCTTTTGTGGAAGTTTCGTTTTTTCTTTTTCTTTTCTCCGGTCAGAGTCATGGCGAACTATCGGTGGCCGACGAAGCTATCAAAGTTATCACTCAGAGCAAAACACGCGAACCTATACAGAGTGATTCTAGTCGCGATCCTCTGCACCGCCTCTTACCTCTTCGGAGTATGGCAACACTCCGGTAGAGGAATCTCACACTCGTCCCTTTCAAACCACGAGCTTAAGTCCGTATCCTGCACGTTTCCTCGTCAAGCCGCACCGGTTCTCAACTTCGCTGCCCGTCACACAGCCCCCGACCCTCCTCAGACGGAGTTGACGGAGCGTATCACCCAAATCCCGCCGTGCGGCGTCGAATTCTCGGAGTACACGCCGTGCGAGTTCGTGAACCGGTCTTTGAGTTTCCCGAGAGAGAGGCTTATATACAGAGAGAGGCACTGTCCGGAAAAACACGAGATGCTCCGTTGCCGGATTCCAGCGCCGTACGGTTACACCGTGCCATACCGGTGGCCGGAGAGCCGTGACGTGGCGTGGTTTGCTAACGTGCCGCACACGGAGCTAACGGTGGAGAAGAAGAATCAGAACTGGGTGAGGTATGAGAAGGATAGGTTTTTATTTCCTGGTGGTGGTACGATGTTTCCACGTGGAGCTGATGCTTACCTCGACGAGATCGGACGGCTGATAAATCTCAAAGACGGATCCATTCGGACAGCCATTGATACTGGATGTGGGGTAAGTTAAGATTACTCTGTTTTGTTTGTTTGTTGTGTTCACTTCCTTTGTACTGTTCATGTGATGTCTCTGTTTGTTTTTGTTTGGCTCTCTGTTCATGTTACCATGTTTCATCCCATGCTCGTGATGTCATACATTTTGAAGTTTTCTTGTTGTTTTTCTTTTGTTGCAAATTTTCATGGACATTTGTTTTGGGTTATGGTGGTGGAGTAGATTTAGTGGAACTAGTTATTAATAAGTTTTTGAAGTAGCGTCAAACTAATTGATGATTGTGCATTTTTACATTGAAACCATGTATTGATGTTCCCTTTGTTCATAGATTTATGCAAAGACGTGTATCCTACTGTAAATTGGTTGTTGATTTAGGTCAGTCAAGAGAAAATTTATTTCCAATTTGGCATGCGATATACCTAATTCAATTTATGAAATTTGTTAATTGTTATTTAAAATATGAAAATATAAGAATTTTGGTCTCACAAAATCAGTTTTGTATAAAATTTATGACAAGGAGAATATTCTGACACAGCAGAGTGAGAATGATAGATAGGAGGATAGGATTGTCGTAATATGGAAGAGAAGCATTGAAGTCACAAGTAGATTTTTTTAAAAGTCAATAGGATCAAAACTGGAAACAAATTTGCTAAGTTTTCCTAATTTTCTGTTTCTCTTATTGGCAAGGAATAACAAGTTTTTATTTTTTTTAATTTATTGTTTAATCTGGCTGTAATCCTTTATTACTACCTTTTAATCTCACCCAACAAGTAATTAAATTGTTGTACAGCTAAGTAATTGCTGGCTAAGAGAGCCATCAAATAGAAACTATGGATTTCTTAGTATCGATAGTTTCAATCTTCAAATGGAAGTAAAGTGGTCAAAAGACTTTTAAACTATTTGTTTTGTCTTATAGATGTTTATGGGTAATTTAATTATAGAGTTTATGATCATAGGTTACGTGAAGACAATAATTTTATCGACCGTCTAAAACTAATGATGATACTACTACTACTAGGTAGCGAGCTTTGGGGCGTATCTAATGTCGAGGAACATAGTAACGATGTCGTTTGCACCGAGAGACACACACGAAGCTCAGGTTCAGTTCGCACTTGAGAGAGGAGTCCCTGCCAGTATCGGAGTCTTAGCCTCTATTAGGCTCCCATTCCCGGCCAGAGCCTTCGACATTGCCCATTGCTCTCGTTGCCTCATCCCTTGGGGCCAATACAGTAACTTTACCCTTGCCCTCTCGAGTCACATTTTCATTTTGCATTCTCTTTCTTATGTGTGTTTTGACTACTTGTTTGAGCAGACGGGACGTATCTGATAGAGGTGGATAGGGTACTGAGACCGGGCGGGTATTGGATTCTGTCGGGACCGCCGATTAACTGGCAGAGACATTGGAAGGGTTGGGAAAGAACTAGAGACGATCTCAAGTCGGAGCAGTCTGAGATCGAGAGGGTCGCTAGGAGCTTGTGTTGGAAAAAATTGGTGCAGAGAGAGGATCTTGCAGTATGGCAGAAACCGACCAATCATATTCACTGTAAGCGCAATCGGATAGCTCTAGGACGCCCTCCCTTCTGCCGCCGGACACTACCTGACCAGGCCTGGTATATTTGATTACTAGACAAGAAATGGTCTCACTAGAAAGAAAGATTTGTATTTGACTAGATCATTGTTTGCTCTGTTTTGGGTTTCCAGGTACACTAAGCTTGAAACATGTTTGACGCCGTTGCCGGAAGTAACAGGATCTGAGATCAAAGAAGAAGCAGGTGGGAAGTTGGCAAGATGGCCTGAGAGATTAAATGCTGTTCCTCCGAGGATCAAAAGTGGAAGCTTGGAAGGGATCACTGAGGATGACTTTGTCAGCAACACAGAGACATGGCAGAGAAGAGTGTCTTACTACAAGCGCTTTGACCAGCAGCTCGCGGAGACGGGAAGATACAGAAACTTACTTGACATGAATGCTCATCTTGGGGGTTTCGCCTCAGCCTTAGTCGATGATCCTGTCTGGGTCATGAACGTTGTCCCCATGGAGGCCAGTGTCAACACCCTTGGAGTTATCTATGAGCGAGGGTTGATCGGAACGTATCAAAACTGGTAAAGTTTCTATTTCTAATAATCGAATAAGCATTCTTTGGGGTAGTTTTCATTGATTTTTTTCTTTTATTAACTCTTAAACAGGTGTGAAGCCATGTCAACTTACCCAAGAACGTACGATTTCATCCATGCCGATTCAGTGTTCACTATGTACAAAGACAGATGTGATATGGAAGATATCTTGCTAGAAATGGACAGGATTCTAAGACCAAAGGGAAGCGTGGTCATCAGAGACGACGTTGATGTGCTAACCAAAGTGAAGAAGATAACAGATGCGATGCAATGGGAAGGGAGAATAGGAGATCATGAGAACGGACCTCTTGAAAGGGAGAAGATTTTGTTTCTTGTGAAGGAGTACTGGACCGCACCTGCGCCTGATCAGTCTTCCAGCTTGGAATAATTCATAAAATAAGTAGCTCCATTTTTTTTCTTCAAATATTTTGTACACACAAATAGACTTTTGGCAAATGAAGAAACAAACACCAGATCAATTGTTTCAAACCGGAGATTAATTGTGAGCAAATGAACTGAGTTTACAACAAAGTGTGTGACCGTGCAGTTAGCTAATAAAGGGCTTACAGACTTACAGTACACTGAACTCAACTAGTTTCTGCTATCAACATCTCTGGTTACATTGCTACACCAGTGGTTCAAGAAACAACGCTTCTTGTTTGTTGGTGAGACTTAGTTCCTCAAAAGTTAAAGCACCGTCTTGAAGGCTGAAAGCACGTCGAGGATATGGTCTAACCTGTTTACCAACAAAATTCACAGCACTTAGGCACTTATAATGCTTGTAGTACCAGGATAGAAAGACTTGAATCATTAGAAGTTGCATTGAAATAATGCAGGAAAATAGCTACAGCACATCACTAGGCTTACCACTCTATATGTGCCAGGTTTGACTAATCCAGAAGCATCTATGAAGTCAAAAAGGTACTGCATTTCAAAAAATAACAGTTAGGTAAGCTTGAATACGAAAAATGTTTACCTCACTAATCAATTACGTCTCACGAAATTCACCTTAAGCTTGTCTGACTTGAGAAAGCGGCGACCATGACGGCTGCTATCTGGCATTCTAACAAGTAGAGTGATGGCATCTTCATTGTCGACTGCTGGCTCGATGGGAAGCGCTGTCTTCCTCGTAGTGGAAGATCCCTCAGCTGCCTGCCATAAGTGAGGTACCCAAAACAGTGAAAATGAGAACTAAACAATGAAACTGGAGAACAATATCAGCTTTCACTGGCGCGGCCAGTATTACCCAAAATATCTATTAAGATACCTAGAGATGGATCTCTAGTAATAAAATAAATGTTAACCACATTTCACAACTATTAAGCATACAAAATTCGTCGATGGTTGAAAATCAACGGGGTCATTCTGATTACAACACCTATTTTGTAGACTAAGTTCTACCATGGATTTCTGCAGAGGAGTTAATCACAGCCCGAATTATGTTCATGCCAATTTTCATGTTCCAATTAATCAATGCCTTACAAGAAAATCAAATTACCTCTCCAACTACCCTTTTACCGGGAGATTGTGACTCCTTGAAAATTCCATGTTGATTATTATGTGAAGCACTTTCTTTAGCTACTCCACTAAAGAGTGCCTTTTCCAGCATTATTGCCTCCTGAAGCTCTTTTGACGGAATGCCACCCCACTAGTAGCAGTCGTGCAATAGGAGGTGAAAATTTAGTATGACGAACAAAGAGCAACTAGAAGCTAGTCGCTAAGAAGATGTTAATTTGTTCTTGACTGGCTACTTTAACTGATAAGAATAAACGAACTTGTTTTGAATAATTTACCGCTTCAGGATAAGAAGCTTCAACATTCTGGAGATCTTGACTGTGCTGGGAGCTGGTATTGATTGGCTGCTTTTGTTTCATGTCTTCACCCGTGTCTTGCCCTGAAGAGCTACCCGGCTTCAAGTACAAAGGTTTTAGTTAGCAAGATAGCTTAAAGGGTTTCAACAAATAAAAGTGTGGCTAACTTAGTATGTAAAATGGATGTCCACTATCAAAACTAGTGAAAACTGTAAAGGGAAGCATCCCAAACTATACTAATGAGAATGAATATATATATTATTCGATAGCTTATGAGTCAGAAGGCTGGAAGACTGAGGCTTATAAGAGGTGAAGATAAATTTAGTTTCACACCTGATATCTGCTACTTTCATTTGTATTAGATTGACATGGGTCGTGACGCTCCAAGGACTGAGACATAAATTCAGCTAGTTGGTCACGGAACGCACTCTCATGCTCTTCCATCTGAAAGCCATTTATACTAAGGTGAGACAAATGCCAACATCGTACATAGCAGATGAAATTTCTATCAATGCCTACCTCTAAGGACATAGAAATTGCACGAGCAATGTCCTCATCTTCCCGGTTAATAACCTCTCTTGGAGATAAAACGCTAGATGGATCCTGCATCAATAACAGAAAACAAAAAAAGGGGAAAATATGTGAGACTCATGCAAAACAGAAGCTAGACAGGGTTAAGCTTGAATACTGTACATTGTCTAAACTATATCTTGTGTTGTGACGAACCTCTTGAAAATCCTTCTTCGAGGCCTCAATGGCAGCTCTGACCATTTCCTCTTCTGCATCGTTGCTATAGACAGGTGGTTCACCATCATTTGTCCCACCATGGACCTGGGATCCATAGCTTGGTGAATGTCTAGCATAACCGTCACCAACCTGTCCAAGTCCAGGAGGACGAGTATGATCATTTCCCCAGGTAGAGTGAGCAGGGAACCCTGTGACTTCTCCTGTTTGAGATGATGGAGAAGGACTCCCAGAGAGAGCAGAGCCACTGAGCTGCCTAAAGATACTTCGTCTGTAATTGGGATCTAGAAGCAAAGAAGGTCTAAAAGCCCGAGCAGCAGAGAGGATAGATGGAAGTGCGCCTGGGACTGGCCTAGACTCGCTGACTGGCCTAGACTCGCTAACACGAACGTGACTGTTATCTTCCACAACGTTGTGGTCTGGACGACTGTCTAAGCTTGAATCATCATAACTGAAAGGACAATCCAATAAATGAAAGGCAACAAAACAAACAGCTCACACCATGAAAAAAAACAAAATCATAGAAGAGGAAACTCAAAAACTCTAAAAGAAATAGAGAAACATACATGCTTCTTTCCACATCTCTAAAGTGGCCATTGATTGCTTCAGGGAGATTATTGCCATGTTCCTGTGGTCAATACAGAATTTCAACTTTTTTTTTCTGGTAACGCAACGAGATGTACAATGATAGACAATCAAAGATCGCCCTACCGATCCTAGACAACGAGTCTGGTGAACTATCACAAAACCTAAAACCCCAACTCTTCCAATTCCATAACGTTTCTAAACTATCAGCAGCATTTACACATTTGATCACAGAACTAACACATATCTTCTCAAATGTGTGAGTGTGATAACAAAATCAATCTTGGCAGAAGGCATTCCACGAAATTGCCCCTCTCAGAAAGAAAAGAAAAGCACGAACCTCAAGTCTCTGAATCGCGAGTGACTCGGACGCGCCAGTGATGCTCATATAAGACTGGATGGAGTCTCTCGTCGGACTCACCATCTCCGCCGGCGAAATCGGTGGCTGTCGGTTAGAGAAAACGAGTTCGCCGGAAATTATGGAAGCTGAGGCGTTCTAATATGTTTAGCAAAACATTAGTATCATTAGTTCAACTGAATCGAACCGACGGTGATGAGTCGCCACAACGGTGACGTGTAATCAGTAAATAATAAAAATTCTGAGATCTGAACCTTTAAGGATTAATTTTACTTTTTCATATAAGATTAACTTTAGTTAACAGACTGTATAAATTTAAAGTATAGGTACTTTTATTATATTTCAAAAGTTAATTATTTTTAAATATTAACATCTAAGATAAATTTACTGAGCTAATTGGCTCACTTGAGCTAATTCTATTTTATTGTTGGAAAAAAAAAAAAAAAAAAAAAAAAAACCAAGTATCAAAATATACCAAACAAACATAAGTGCATCAAAATGCAATTTCTAGACGCATGAACCAAAAAAGGAAACGAATTTTATCCAGATAATGCGTCCAAATACTGCGTCTAGATGCGGTATCCAGATAACGCGTCTTGTTCACCAAACGAACAGGGCTAAGTATCTAACGATATATTTTTTCTTCAAAGTCTAATATTCTAGTAAAAACATAATACTTGAGAGCAAGTGAATGTGTGATTTTATTTTTTTGGGTCAAAGATAGACTCGAGTTTTCTAGCATACTACTTAATAATATATTTTTTAAACAGCTACTATTTATTAAATATATTCGGTATTACATTCACCTAATTTACTTCCAAATCAAAAAAAAAAAACTGATTGCAAAAAAGGTATTAAATATTAAACTACCGTAAAAATATAACTGAGAGTAAGAAAAAAAGGACAGAATATTATTTTAAGGTAAAAAAAAAAAAAACAGAACTAATATTTGATGTCGGTTGGCGAAAATGAATAAATGTAAAATCGGTCGTCATCTCTAATCCTAAAATACCCGATTCGATTCGATTGAATACAATTTTCCTAGGGTCACCATCGCCTCCGCTCTTCTAAAGAAGTTTGTTTATCGATATAGGTATAAACAAATTCCTTATTTTTTCTCGTTTTTGTGCTCATCGGAATCTTCTACATTCCGGCTATCGTTTTCGTTGTTTCTGCGGCGTTTGGTTTCCTCTGATTGCGTGTGTTTCCTAGCCTTTGTCTTCCTCGCAATTTCATTCTAGTTTGCGTACTCTGTAATCTTCCTGTTTATTATTATGCTACATAGATTTTGAGTTTCTTCGTCCAGTCTGAACCGTCTCTGCTTGTGGTTCCACATCGGGATATTTTATTTTTTGTTTCTATTCGTTTTTGTGCCAATGCTCAAGTAATTGCACTCTTCCGTTGTTATTTTGTGATGTTGGTTTCGTGAAAAGTTTCAATCTTTTGTAGGATGACTTGAGCTTGATCGAACAAGAATGGATTTCGTAAACAATCTTGATTCCGACACGTCTCTGTCGATTCTTTCTTGTCTAGATGACCCGTCCGATATTGTCCGTGCTAGTGCTGTCTCCCGCTCCTGGAGAGAGTTTGGTAAGCTCAAGACCTTCCTCTTGAATGGTTATCTATTTTCAATGTTTCCATGTATTTATCTGTTTATCTGAGCTATTGTTTCTGCTCAGTCTTGAGTATGGTTGATTAGAACTTTACCTCTCGTTTCATTAAAACAGCTGTTAACCTTTCCAGAATGGGTTTTGCATTTGCAGTGATCAATTACAATCTCTCCAAGAATCTATGCTTGAAGTTGTTCCATCAGCTATCTAATGTGGGTCATATAACAGAAACACGTAATGATAGAAATGAAGAGTCCTCTGAAGCCGGGTCAAGCAGCCTTACAGATACAAGGCTACTTGAAAAAGAGCACCGGGCTTATGCCTTATTGACTAGAGGATGCACATCCTCCCCTATCCGAAGCTGTATTGCTGATGCCATTAAAGCTTCTAGTACTGATAATTTTCCTGTAGAAAGCATCTTAAACACACTCGAAGAAGGTGATCGGTATGGTGATACCCCTTCATACTGGTCGAGTACAGGGCAACACAGAACTTCAGTGCCCGAAACACTTCTTTACAAGTTGATGGGTGATGTGTGTGTCATCACCGAAATCAAAGTTCAGCCTTTCCAAGGTACCAATGCAATCCCTTTGTCAATGTTTCTTTGCATCTCTAATTGATTTTGTTGCTTAACGGTTACCCATTTTCTGTAGCTTTTTTTCAGCGCGGTCATCCGATATACTCCTCACATTATGTTCGTTTCCGGTTGGGTCACCACAAAAATGACAATTCACCCTGCTACAACAATTCACAGGAGAAAAAAGGTGAACCAGGAAGGAGTTCAGTTGAAAGCAACTATGTATGGACATACACTTCACAAGAGTTTTCGATGGCTCAGGTGTGTTACAAGTCATTGCCGTCTTTAGTATATTGTAAAGCTAGTTCCTGAACTGTAGATAAACGATGATGGTTTCCATGAGTAGGAAAACCGGTTGCAGACCTTTGAGCTTCCAGAACCCGTTCTTTGCATTGGTGGGTATATGCTAGTCGAGTTTCTAGGTCGAGTTCAGACACAAGAAATGGATGGCCAATACTATATATGGTACATCTTCTCTCCCTATTGCTCTAGATTCTCTAAAAACTTTACAACTTCTGCAATGTGAAAGCAGTTTTTGTTGATTGTTTTTGCAGTGTGTCGCATGTTAAAGTGATGGGAAGATCACTAGCACAATCATTTCGAGTTGAGAATGTGGATGACTGTGGAAAATTTGGACTAAAGGTTTTGAGTTACAGTGATCCAAAAACAATGATAGAGATGGATGCAGAGGAGGATGAGATAGATGCAGAGGAGGTTGAGATTGATGCAGAGCTGGCTGAGATGGGTGCAGAGGAGCAAAGCCCGTTTAGGGGGATAAGAAACCTTGAACAGCTTTTGAATTTATTGCACAGGCACCCTCTCGATGTCGTCGACTATGTTTTGCCTGAGTCAGACAACGAAGATGCTGAATCAGACGATGACGTTTAGTTACTGAATTACTACTTCCAGTTTTTTTTTGTTTTAAAAGAATCTTTGGGTGCTTTTCATCTTTTGCGAGCTCTTCTAAAAGCTTCTTCTCGAGCCATTTTGGCTTGCGTATTTATGATATCATCGTTATTATAAAACAGTGCATGTGTTACAGTCTTTAACCGAAAGTTAACAGAACTTTAACATTTTGGCTCTTTCTTCTCTTTTGGTGCTATAAAGATTGTCAAGTTTCGGAAATAATAACAGTACTCGTGGTTGTAAAACCAGGGAAGAAGATTGAATGAAGGTTTTAAGTCTGTGGCTTTTATTGGAAATAAACAGTACTCGATCAATGTTTAAACACCTAGCAAAGATGTGAGTTTATTGGAAATTTTCAAGAAACCAACGAAGCAAAGTTAATGTAAAGACATAAAAGACGATAACTGATGAAACAAACAAGTCCAAGTCAAAATAATGACTTCAACGGGAGAAACACATACTAAAAACCACAAACGAACATCTCATACTCATTATTCAGGAGACAGGCAGAGCAATGCAGATCTTCATAATTCAAGGTTTAAGATTCATTGAAAACCTCCTCATCTGAAGACTCATTGAAAACCTCCTCATTTGAGTCCTGTCCCTCCTGCAGATCATCTTCAAGGTCAGAGAGGCTGATTCCATCCTGCATCAGTTCTTTATCTAACGGTCCATGTGCCTGCACTTGTAGCTGAGCAGCAGCATTATTGTTTGAGGACTCACGCGGACTCAATGGAATTTCATCAGGTCCCACAGGCTCCCCAACAGTTTCCAAAGGCTGAAAATCTCGCTCGCTGAATACATATTTCTCTGTCGAAGACCAAATTTGGTTACTTTAAGTAAATACCATAATATGATTAAGAACAGCAAGAAGTTTCACATAATTAATACCATATCTCAGAGATCACCTACTATGACAAAGCAGAACCTACATCTTAAGTTACCTAAAACAAATGCATAAATAACTTCCAAGATATTGCAATCAATCCAATATTATTTGAGTCTGAGATGCTCACCATAAGCAGCAGTAACAGGTTGGCTGGACGACTTTTCTAATTCCTCCTTTTTCTCACTACCTTCTCCATTCTTCATTATCTCTGTTGGTTCTTTTCTTTCATTGTTGGCTTCTTCTGAATAAATCATACGAGTTTGCACATTGGTTGATATAAGTTACAAAAACAAGGATATGGATCAGTGAAACTCACCTGCAGAAATGAGCTTTGGCTTCTTTAGTTGTCCTAAATGAGCGCCCCAATCCTTTTCTGTCTGTTCTCCAGTGTCTGTATCCTCTCTATCCTTCCTGGTTTTACCTTGGCTGAATTCAGCTGCATTAAACGATGTTTTAGTAAACCTCAATAGCAAACTAAACGCATCAGGTGATGAAGTGGAGATGTTCACCATCTGTTTCTCTGAATTCATTCTGCATTTCTGGATATCCCAGTTCTGGCTTCTTCTGGTCTCCCGACTTCAAATTCTCATCTTCTGTTTTCGGTTCATTGTTCTTGAGCTTATCTCCAAGAGATTGACTGTGGGTGATCGAACAATTTTTCTCAGGTGTGTTGATGTCAATTTGACTAAGAAAGTGCCACTGTTTCCTGGCTGTAAGCTGCCACAGAATTTTTAAGTCGCGTTCCATGAGAGGCTTCATCAGACATAATTCAGCACCTCTGCGCAGACATTCCACAATGGCATCTTTCACATATGCACCCAAAACTGTTAACATAAAGAGAGAACAATGATTAAAAGCTAGCCCCTCCCATACTTGTCATGAATATATCAAGGATCCAGAAACAAGGATTGATTCAAAATCTCATCAGACTTGTACATGGACATATTTAAGATCTCAAACTTTTCATGAAAACATTCACGATCCAGAAGCAAAGATTAATTTAAGTTGTCAGACTTGGTATGAAAACATTAACGACCAGAAGCATGGATTAGGGATACATTTTGCTTACCAACAACCGGAATCTCACAAGTCAACCTGATTTTCTCAAGAAGTTCGTACTTGTTCATCTCAATCAAGCGGAACTCTGCCAGTACAAGATCAATCTTTTCATCTTTGTTATTGATGATAAGCGGCACATCATCAGCCCTTGTAGTAGCCACAACTGTGAGATGAAATTACCAATTCCAAAACAACAAACAAATAGAGGTGCTCAGCAATAAATAAAAAATGCGAGAATCATTATTTTAAACATTGGGTCATGATATACCTTTATATCCGCATTCGCGCATCATCTCTGACATATTCGCCAAAAATGTCGCATCGCTGTCCAATAGCAAAAAACAAATTTCATCTGAAAATCTCTCGGTTGCTTTGGTATTTTCAGGACGAAAATCCTCTTCTCCGTTCATGATTCACAAGAACAACAAAAAAAAAGCTTAATAGTCAGAAGCCTAGAAGTAGATGAGACGAGAGACTTAATCGCATGAAATACACACAAAGCGGCTTTCACAAGCGGAAAGAACAAGATTGAGGGGAAAGGCAATCTAAAGGGTTTAAATTGGAAAATGAAATTCACAAACGTATCAAGAACTAAATCTGACCTGGATACACTTCCTAAATGCAACAGCAAGCCTCCACGTTTCACCATGCGCTGCGTTGCAACAGATTCTAGTCAGAATCATTAAATCATTTATGAACCTACCATACATAGAGATAGCCATCGAAATGAAAGTACCAATAAACGTGTTCATCCCACGGATGCAAAAACAGTCCACGCTTCTTTTATTAATCAACGATGCAATATATCAAAGTGTATGATACTCAATTCATGCAAGATTGGATGGACTGCAAATCAATCAGTCCAACAAATAAATCTTGCTTATGTGTGCTTAGTAAGAACTTTAATCAATGAGACACTTCACAAATATAACTAAAAAAAAGCTTTGAAGACAATTCTCTGAAATTTATTAGTACCAAAGCTTTGAAGACAATTCCCAAGTATAAATTGTGCAAAGAACTCTTAAGAAACCAGAAATTGAGTGCAACGATGAAGAGATTGTGCAACATAATTTCTTTATTGATTCTCTCATTTGCTGACAGTGAGCATAACTATTGCGATGAGTCAAGCATAGTTAGCTTTCAGAATAGGCTCATGTCATCAGTGTCGTAGCCCATTCTAAAAGCTAACTATTTTTGAGACATCAGAGCTTTGGCGGTGCAGTGGCTGTTCCTATGAATCTGCTGAAAATATGCCGTTGGAGAAATGGCTGGATAAGTGTATACATGTGATGTTGTTTAAAGATTCATGTTCACACTGACAGCAAACAATAAACCATGAGGCAAAGGCAGAAAACTGGGTAAAAAGGCATAAAGAAAAACTGAATAAACCATTACCTTTTCACCAGTAATCTCCCAGTGTCACCCTAGTTATCGCTCAGCGTCACCTTAGAAGACAGACTGATTAAGATTACGCATTCAAAAGCTGACAACATAACATCACGATCATGAACCTAAGGTTCATTTAGTCCATCCAATGATTCAACAGCCTCTTTCTCTTCAATCAGCCCATCTCGTACTCCACAAGATTCTTCTGGCTGGCCACAACTACCACAAAAGCCTATGCATATCCTCTAGTCTGTACGAAGTATCTCCCCACATTTATGGATGTCTTTCACGAAATAAAGTTGTTTAGGAGAAACAATTGCCTTCTCCCAATAACGCACTAACAATAACGTAGCCTTGATCACACACATTTTAGCCCCAAAGAGGAGGCATCCTGTCAGAAGTGATAGGAGCATTCACATGGCCTTCACTGTTTACCTGAGCACAGAACCAAAAGCCAGAAATTTACTGAGCATGTTATAAGAAATAAGGTAAGACAAATGCTTTTTTACAGATTTATCAACAAAATTAAAGAACACGAAAGCTCATATTTTACCAATTGTGATAAGTACCGACTACAATAGACATCGCCAGGTCACTGGGCCTTGGGACTAGACACATAAACTGAGTATAGCAAAGCTCCAACAAACCTTTTGAGTTTTGATTATGAAGTGATAAACTAATAGGCACATAAGCAGAAGCTCCAAATCTTGCTACACGTAGAGCGAAACATCCTAGGTCCCACATATTTTGTCTTATTCTCTACCAACTAACTTAATTATATTAAGCAAAAAACTCTGTTCCTTTCTTTCTCTCAGCCTGTCATCATCTTGAGATCTTCATCAAGAAGCTGCCTCTCTCTTTCCATAAACTCACATCAGCCACACATAAATACATCTTAACTCTCCTAAGCATTTCACTAGCCCACTTCCCTCGTTCAAGAAATTTTCTTTATGTGTTTTAAGACACTTTCTTATCGTCAGTTCAGTGTAATTCAAGTTCAGCTGCATACCTGAGGCCAAGAGTGTTTCAAGATGGAACTAAGGCCGAGAAAGCTAAAAGACTGTCTCTTAGAAGATTCCAATTCCTGTTCCTCGAACGGTTTCAAATCGATGCCCAGACGGCCTCCTCTCAACCCTTTCACAATAATACCAAAGAGGAAACAATCCAATGCATTACAGGCTGTGATTAACGCCGTCAAGAGCCTCCGTTCTAATGCTGTTAAATCTTCTCCATCAAGGATCTTACCAAGGACCCTCTCTCGGCGGTTAACATCCAAGAAAAAAGTAGAAAACCAAGCAAGCATCACCGTTGTTCGGGTCAAAGACATCGTGCGGTGGAGCTCGTCGAAGGACCTGCATGAGGACATATCACATTTCGAACTGTTTCCACCTCATCAGTACACAACCAAGACTACGACAACAGCCACTGGATCCTCCACCACCACCAGCACATCCTGCAGCAGTTGGTGTGACTCGGATTTTACATCGGAGTTTTTACCATCATCATGGGGAAGTAATGTTGAGGAGTGTGGTGAAAAAGAGAGTGTTAAAAACAACTTACACTGCGTCGGCGAAGATTCTTGCACAGCAGTAACAGTCGCCGACACTGAAGTGGGACCTGAGGTAAGAATACTATATTAAGAGAAATAGAAACTCGTACTTATAACATTAATTAATCACATAGTTTAACAACTACATGCATAAATAAATAGAAAACAGAATCAAATAAAAATAAAGTGACACTGTGATTTTAAGATCTTATGGGTTGACTTTACTTCAACCATAAGGTCGCCCATGCTGTCTCTAAATGCACGTGCAGCTGTTTGTTTATATATTTTCACATAAAAACAAAACAGAAGCTGGCGTCTTCCTTGGTAGATATATAGAATAGTATGTACAGTACCCATTAATTCCTTTATGACTACAGTATCTAACAATTTATGGAATGGGTCATATGAGAGTAGCTCTGCATCAAAATTTAATACACTCAAATTATTACGCTATACACTTTAATAGTTGGATGATTTGGTTAGCCTAATATGCAAATGATCATGGTCAGGAGGACTTACAGTGTGAAAAGGAGCACAACAGCCCTGTCTCAGTGTTTGAGATTCAACATGAGGAATATGATGAAGCATCAGACTCTTCTTTCAGTCAATGCCTTGACAATGTGGAAAGTGCGTATTGATTTCCTTCATTGCAATCAAAGCAAGTTTACTTGATAGATTGTTGTAGAGTTCAAAATTCTGAAACATACGCTATGTAATGATTTTGCAGAAACCAAACAAAAGCTCATGCAAACGATTCAACGGTTTGAGACCTTGGCCAACATTAGTCCTTTCACTTTGGACGAATGGGCCTCAAGGGATGAAGAATCTTGCATGGACCGAGGAGAAGTTACAGAGATCAGATATGATGATGGTGAGAATTGTGATACTGTTGATGGAGAGACTGAAGATGAAGACGCTGATGAGATTGAAGAGAAGGCAGGACAGCTATGGAACCGGGTCAAAGAAAGACATGCAATTTGGATCCACGAAGAGCATCTGATAATGGACTATTTCAGAGATGAACTGGTGCAAAGGAAAAACTCGTTCCACGAAACTCAACACTTTGAGGACCAATTGGTGAGCGAGGCAAAAGGATGGTTACAGGGACAGAGAGAATCAGAGCTTGAAAGCGGAACAGGTGAGCAGAGGAGACAGGCTTGTGCTAGAGAAATTGAAAGACGAGGCTGGAATGAGAAGCGGATGAAGGAGGAGCAGGAAGAGGTTGCCGTGCAAATCGAGGATGGACTCTTCAGCCTGTTAATGAATGAAACTATAACTGCGCTTTACCAATGCTGATTCCAGTCACCTGAACATGGCAAAAATGCAACATCGATGCTTAAGTTTCTACTCGCCAGATGAATCAAACACAAACAAGATTCTAAAGCATATGTTTGGACTATCTTAGTCAAGGGAATCTGATAAAGGAGATAAAATGTAGCCAATATAAAAACTCATTCAAGTGACATAAAGTTTTCAGCTTTAGAAATTAGCAGGCAAAACAGTTTTGATTAGAGCTTGATTTAAAGGCTCAGATTTTGCTATGCTTTTTATGTAAGAATGAAGCAAACAAATGCAATGCACATTAACCTCTTAAAACAATGCAATGTACAAATGTACCTTTTTCATATCTCTGCTTAGTAGAGATCCCACTGCTACACTTTACAGCAAGAAATTGAATTCATGCTAAACAGAAACAGAGAAGAAAATTCAAATTGTACAAAATTAGTAATTGGGTTCATGGCAAGGATTCGCGATCGCAGCTTCCAAATAAAATAACCCTAAATCCTCAATTTCAAATCTTATCTAGATCATTGAGAGACAGTGAAGAGAGGATTAAAAAAGCTCCGATTGTCTAAAATCGGAGAAGAAGAAGTAAAATTGAAACTTAAAAATAAATAAAAATGGAAAGACGAGGGAAATAAGTTGGAGACGTTGTTACACAGTTCTCTTCCAAGGTCAGTGAAGAAGCTCCGATATAGGTTTCTATTTTTTTATTTTATTTTCGCTACGAAACACTGAATTTATATGACTAATGGGCTCACTATATTATCTTATGAAGCCCGTTTTGTGTTTGGGTATCGTTGAAGCCCATAATGTTTAGAACAATAATTACACTCTTCTTTTATTTTTTCCCCAACGGAATTTCAATTTACTCTTCTTTTTCTTTAGGTTTTAGATTTTAAATTTAATCCTTTTTCACTTTTTTTACAAAAATGAAAAAACAACCGAATGTGTACATGTACAATTGGGCGAGAAAAGGAAAATACATATCAAAATTAATACGTAATTGGAACCAACAAAAGATAGGATAAAATATTGCATGTCTTCGTCTTAATAAAGATTTTCGATTTTTAACTTCAAACAAAAAAAAAAAAAGACATGAGGTAAGGAAAAAAATAGTGGGTTAAAAATTGATTAATATGTATCTTTCAGTAAGTACAAAATAATATCCTAAACAGGTTAGGGATTATTAAGCTAGCTACAACTTTTGAAACAAACAATTCCATTAAATCAGTTTAAAAAATTTACAAACAAACAAAAAATAAAAGTAATAAACTTTAGAACGTATTTTTTTCCAAGACAAAAAGGAAAAGTAAATTAGATCTTCTTAAGGATTTTATGTTTACTTCCTTTTTTAGATTAATTGAAGATTATTTTTTTTATTAAAAGATTATATGAATTTTTCTATCAATCTAGATAAAGGAAATATACAATATAAATTAAAGTCCTAAAAGGATTAGGAATGGTGAAGCATTATATAACCAATGATAGGCTCTACGTATTTTCTTCACAACATCATTCACATTCACCATCACAACTCAAACACAACACAAGTCAAATCTCTCTCTCTTATTCAGCGAGTTTGAGATCTCAGAACCTTTCTTCTTGTTCATCTAATCATGGCCACAACGATGAAGAAGATCTTCCTCTTTGGGTTGCTTTTGTTAACAACCTTCACGGTTCTCTCGGGTTCTTGTTCGGCAAAGGTCTACACCGTTGGTGACTCCGATGGATGGATGGCCAAAGAAGACGTCTATTACGAATGGGCCAAGGGTAAGGAGTTCCACGTTGGTGATTCTTTGGTCTTCAACTACGATCCCTCCGTTAACGACGTTACTCAAGTCCCGGGAGCTTTGGAATACCAATTCTGCGACACATCTTCTCCTCAAGCCGTGTACAACACAGGACATGATGTCGTAACCTTCACGGAACCAGGATATCACTACTTCGTCAGCTCAAACCAAGCTCAATGCACACTGGGACAGAGGCTCGACGTTCTTGTTCTTCATGACCCGTCACGTCCTGTTCCTCCACCACCACCGAGCAAGATCCTTCCTTCCAGCCAAATCTACAAGGTCGGTGGCTCTAAAGCATGGAGCGTTCCCGAAGAGAGTGAATACTACAACAAGTGGAGTGAGGGTAAACTGTTTCAAGTAGGAGACAGTTTACTTTTCGAATACGACAACGAAGTAAACGACGTCTTAGAGATAAGCGGTGACCTTGAATTCATAACCTGCGATCCAACTTCTCCCGTAGCCGTGCACAAGACGGGACACGATCTAGTCAAGCTCACCAAACCAGGAGTTCACTATTTCATTAGCTCAAAGACGGGTCACTGCGCGGCTGGCCTTAAGCTTCGAGTAGTGGTCGGACAACTCATCAAAGACGTAACTTTCCCCAATGTTCCCAAGAAGATGGATTTGTCAGCTATGGACGACCGCCTCACAGAGTGGTTACGCACTTTTAGACCCCAGCCTCATCACTAAATCTTCGGTGTTATTTGGTTTTGAGATTAGCTAATCAGAAGCTTCTCTATCTTGTTAACTTCTTTAGTATTTTGTTTGAGATTTAGTTTTTATATTTCCATATCGTTGTAGAGTTGCTTTGATTCAAACAGTATTAAACGTTTATCTAACTACTAGTTCGATGGTTATAATTTTACGGACTAATTTGTTGTTCTTGTTTCGTTAATTTTTAAGTCTTGTTTCCAGTTCAGTTGTAATATTTTTGTCTTAAGTGAAGATCATGTTAAATAATAAAATATTACACAGATCAATCAACTATACATACAGGTTTTAAAATTCTCGCTACTCAAGAATCTGCATATATTTCTTCTAGTGGCTAATGATGTTTCAGTCAAATTTCGTGGCATCTGCTTACGATTTCTTATTTGGCTAACAACTACAAAGGTTAATAAGTTAAAATGTACGGTTATGTATGTAACAATAAATCTATCTTAATTACTTGTAGGAGGAAAAAACAGATAAAAGCTCAAAGGTTGTTTTTTTTTTTTTTCAATTTCTCAGGATGTTGTTCATATTACAACCATAATCAAACTTATCAGAGATTCAATAGCAAAAACAGAGCATAACAAAACAAGCATTTTGACGAGTTTCCTTTTAAGGTCTCTCTCTCTCACTGTGGATACTCTTGAGGATTGAACTTGATTGTTTCACGATATATAAGCTCCTTAATGTTCTCTTCTGACAAAGAAGGCTGCTCAAAATCGAAATTGAACGGCCTTACACACACCGGTTCTTCGTTTATATCATGCAGGGGTGCCAGATATGGGTGGCACAACGCCTCATCAACTACACACACAGAAACTTGCTTTGAATAAACCCGAAAAACAGAGAAGAAGCAGATATATAAATATATAACTCACCAGTGATGCGTCTGCTTGGATCAAAGACGAGCATTTTCTCCAGCAAATCAACTGCACCAGCCGACATGTTTGGGAATCTAGCAGCAAAGTTCTGTCTCGGGTACTGTGGAAGCTGTCTAACGTATCTTCTTGCGTTGTCACTCCTTAAGAATCCCAAGCTTGAGTCATCAGGCGATCCTATAAGCTATATTTCAGAGATTCATCAACAAATGCAGATAATACCGAGAAGAAACACTAGTTGTGATTCCATGGATGAAACAATATTAAACTAGATTACCTCAGTGATGAGTCTAAGCTGATGAACATAATCTTTACCAGGAAACAACGGCTCTCGTGTCATTGTTTCACCGAGTATACAACCGACAGACCAAATATCGATTGCTGCTGTGTATTCTGAGCAATTAAGAAGCAACTCTGGAGCTCGGTACCAACGTGTAACAACATATTCAGTCATGAAGTCTGTCTCGGATTTGGTCCTTGCAAGCCCGAAATCCCCAAGCTTTAGATCACAGTTTGCATTCAGGAGCAGATTGCTGGGTTTTAGATCTCGATGCAGTACATTCGCTGAATGAACGTACTTGAGCCCACGCAACAACTGATACAAAAAGAACTAGAAGCAAAAAAAAATCGAAACTAATTACTTAACACCAAGAAGACCAACTTTCATGAAAACAAAACCAACGAAAGAGAAAAGAGATGACAATGGATGTTATAGACAAAAGTATCAAGTACTACTGACTATAACTGTTGTTACGGACTGCTATAGCTTCCTGAATCAAGTAACTCGTATACTAGAAAGAGAAGATTCATCTGCAAGATAAAAAGGTAACATGAAGGATGAAGCATACCCGACAATGATCATCAGTTAAAGGTTGGTTAGAGCGTATAATCTGGTGGAGATCAGTGTCCATGAGCTCATAAACAATGTAAACATCATTGAAATTCTCTCTCCGTGGTGGTCTTATTATATCCTTTACAGCAATAACCTGCGGAGAAAACAATGTATAAGATTCACACACTATAGGTATTTATCATTTCACTAAAAAAAAATATATTGCAGATAAGGAAAAAAATCCAGAGATCAACTGAGTATCGTACATTTTCGTGATCCATGTGCTTGAGAAGCTTAATCTCTCTCAAAGTTCTTTTAGCGTCGATAATGTTGTCAAAAGCATTACCAATCTTCTTGATAGCGACTTCTTCTCCAGTCTCTGAGTTTATAGCAGCACTGATCAAACATTGAACCAGAAGTTAAAGCTCAAAGAGAGTAAATGAAGATTCATCGACATGTACAAGATCACCCAGTACTAGACGATTCCACAGTTAAAACTACAAGTTCCTAAGCACAAATCCTCAGAACAACTTTCCAGATTAGAGAAACCCAAAGTATCATCGTAAACCCTATTACCAAAATTCAAAATCAAAAAAAGCCAATCGGATAATAATCCCAAGTTCAGAAAGACCCTCACCAGACGATACCATAAGCGCCTCTACCGATGGGACGAAGAGGAGGAACATATTTTCTAGAAACTTCGAAGAGATTGCCATAGACATTGTACTGAACATAGCTACCACCATGAGTAGGCACCCCTTTGCTGCTCTGATCACCTGAACTGCCGAAACAACTCTCCGCCGACATCGGAAAAAAATCAAATCCCCAAAAGATTGAACCAACCCTAGATACACGCCACAGAGAAAATTGAGGAGGAAGAGAGAGAGAGAGAGAGAGGCTTAAAGCTAAATTGAGGAGATGGGTGTTGACATTTCTACAAAAATCAATCTTATGTTTATATAAAGTCTCGACCTTTTTTATTCAACAGTGAAAGGTGGAAAAGAAGGCTCCACCCGGGCGACCCGTGATGATCCCTTAAACCGGGTTTTTCCTATTCTTCTCTTGTTTTTTTTTTTTTCTTTGTTATATAAAGTCAGTCAATTTCAATTTGGTTGTATTGGTGGTCTCTAAGTTGGATATGAATTATTATATCCTGATGATGATTGTTCTAAATCTATTTGATGATGAATTTGATAGAGTGTGGTAGACGTTAATTGACTTCATGTGGGAATGTTCTTGATATCATAAAAAAATACAAGAATTCTAATATTACCACTTTTCTCCAATATTAGTGTTTTTGAGTATAGGACGACGACTTAGGTGGAATAGGTAGGTGTACAAGTCAATGTGTGTCTGCCAAACTATTATTTGACCATATAAACTTGGGACTTTTAACAGAATGATTCATTCACATGTTTATGTTTTGAATTTACTTCAATCAAATTTTTTTGTTAACAGGACAGTCCAACAGGAACACAGTTGTGCCTAACTTGAAAAGAGTAGATAACTAGGTATTTGTAATTTTTGAAGTCGAAAGAGGAGTCAGAGTTATCAATAGTCCAGTCACTTTTAAGTATTTTATTTCGTTTTGAAATCTCATTTTGCATTTGCATTTGCATTTGTTATAACTTAACATCAAGGAAATTAACTTATAAGTTTTGGTTACTAGCTAGTGGTACTCTCTGTTGCTGACTTGACGGATGAAACTATAGTTAAACCTGCAGGAGATGTTACTGACCAAGTCCCCGGATACTTCATCCAAGGTATATTTAAGTTCATCTGCAGGAAATTACTCTATTAGAAAAGGTTTTCTAAAATTTTGGTGCATTGGTCAGCTTGTTCACATTTGATTTGGTTGATAATGTACCACGGTAACGATATCGTGCAAGCCCATCACTTTTTATTATGCGTGTGATGATTATTTACCGACTGAGATGGACTAAAGCCGTTACAGGGAAGTCCAACAAGAACACAATCACTTTTCCATTATGCGTGTGATTGTTACCAACTGAGATATGAATGTTCAACACGGAACCGCATAATGGTGCTTTGGTTCGGAGCTACTTTCACGACCGTGAACCGTCGTATATAAATAAATTATAATCTAAAATTCCTGAACGATACAGATGATCAATGGTCGAAATAGGATGTTGAGTTATCAATAGTCCAATAATCACATTTAACTATTTTATTTCGTTTTATAATCTCATTTGTTATTTGCATTAGTGTCCCATAATTACATGTTTCTTCTATTCACAAAAAGTCTTGACACTTCTAATATTCATCATTGGCAATGCTACTCCCAACTCTTCTTCATATTTCGTCCAGAGGCTCTCGGACACTGCGTTTCGAGCAGAGATCATAATCCTCAACAAGCAACCTGTTTCTTCGTAGAGAAGATCAAACCTTTCCGAAAGTTCTATCACTGACTTCTTCAATGGCTCCAACAACAAAATAGGAACCGACCCTTCTTGTACCGCTGTGTTAAGTTTCTTCACACTGGCGTCGACAGCCTCGAGATCTTTAATACCCATGGACTGGTCTGATAAGAATGCGTTTTTTATCTCCGGGTTAACCTTGTTCTGCAACTCCATGAAAGCTTGTGCCCATGGAAGCTCCTCCATCTCCTTTTGAACTCTAAGATAGGAGAGGTTCTTGGAAGAACCAGTAAACGCTGCAGCGAACACACTGAATATGTATAAACTCTTGACCTTTACACCATATAGAGCTCGTAAGAGAACTTTTCCTTTCACAGAGTGTTTCTTCTTAGCCTTCTTGGAGAGATGGTGATGATCCATCGATTCAACAAGCCTACTCAAAACAGCACCGCAGTTTTCGATTCTCGGGTTCTTGGAGACCATGTGCTGATTCCAACTGTCAAGATGCGATGATAACTGGAGTTCCTCGCGACAATTGTTCGTCTCCAGCTTACTAAAAGCAATTTTGAGCAAAAGGTTGCCATGGTTAAGATGGTCTATCTCCGAGGTGACGGCGTTGCAGAGTTCAAGCAGCTTCAAGCTAACATCAGAGTAGATATAAATCAAATTTTCCTTCAAGTCAGATAAAGAGAGCTCCAGATCCGTCATGAATGTCTCGATACTCTTGTGTGTCTCGCAAAGAGACTCCATGGCTTGTATCATCCAAGAAACACTAATGATATCATTCTTATCCTTTGGTATAAGTTCTCTAATCGACACAGTCAAGTTTGTCTCGAAATTATTTAACAGCGAGAATAGCTTTGGCGATAATCGAGCATTGTTGCTCTTCTTAAACAGAATCTTGAAAGGGTTTTTAAAGCGAAAGAACCGGACAAGAGGATCTTGTTTACAATTTTGGTTCATGTTACCTGAAATACACATGCAAAGAAGGAACAATGTTTAGCAGTCTGAAACAATGTACAAAACAGATAACATCGTTCTGAACCCAGATTATAAGAGGTTGAATTTCATATAAGATCTTATCAATAGCTGTAAAGTAACAACGTTCAAATCAATAGACCTCAAGAATGCGCAGACAAGCAAAAAAAAGAACATAACTTTCAGCAAACCAAACAAGAAGCATGTCTTAAAATCCGAATAGCAGAGATTGATTTCACATCCAAATTGACATTAGGAAAAAAAAAACAAAACTCACCTAGAGAGAGAGATTCTTCGGAAATGTTACCGCTTACTTCAATGGTGGGCTACTTCAACAAGGAAAGGGAAAAACTCTAATCTAACTTTGCACAGAGAATTACCAAAAAACAAAGTATAAATAAGAGGGATGGGTTTGGTGTTCTTACCGAGTAGAGTAGTAAGTAAAAGGGATTCGAAATGACGAGGAAACGCAGAGACTTGAAACGCGTTCTTATAGGAGGAGGGAGGAATCAACTAAACTTGCCGTGTTCTGCAGATCAACGCAATCGACAACCTTTAACTCCCGCGTTGGTTTCGTTGCTGCTAGTTGTAAAGGACTGCTACGCGGCAGTGACGACGAATCTAGGCGACAAGACACGTGTACGGTGGCGATGTCTTAGTTGTAGTCACTCGATCGTTGACATTTGTCAGTATACCACTAAGTATGTAGCCGCCGGATATTTCTCAATCCAAGGGCTAGAAGTTCTAGTTTCCTCGGTGAAAATAATTGTTTATTCTGGGGGTATATTCGTCATTCCCTCGTCGTAACTTGTATAAGCTCCAAAGTCCAAACCCATATCACTGGATCGCGTTGGGCTTTTATTGGGCTAAAACAATAACAAGGGAGTTTGATATATAAAATATACTTTAAGACGATTCAAATCAGAAATTTTTGAAAATCCTCACGTTCTTGAACCCTCTACTACTAAACTACTCGCCAGATCGATGTTGTTATCCTTCCAATAGTTGACAACATTAAACTCTGGAAAAGACTTTATCTCTAAGCTCGGCTCATCCAAATGTGTCTTTGTATCTCTACTAGGAATAGAAAGTGGCTTTAGATGCAAAGCATGATCTAACTTTTTCTCCATCCAAGCCAATCTTTTCTCAAAGCTCAACACACTTCTATGCATATTCCTTGCATCAATCTCTGCGACCATAGCGCAAACCCGTAAAAGAATGTAGTAATCTGCGTGAACCGCGAATATCAATGCTCCATCATCTTTTTTCCTCACATATTGAAGATAGTCTAGTCTCTTTACCTTCATGCGAGGCAGCATGTATTGGAACAAATTGTCCCCCATGTCCCTTATTAGTCTTATTATCGCTTTCTCTTTGGATTTCCTTTCGTGATTATGATTATCTGGTGATGGCTCATCACAATCCGTTGCCCCGGTTTCGCTTTTTCTTGAACGACTGCTACAACAGTTGTTTCTATCCCTCAACTTGTCATCGTTCAAGGACAGTTGGTTAAGTGATAAATCATCTACTTCCCAGTCTCTTCCCCTCTTGGATGGAATCCCAAACAATTCATATTCCTATATTCAAACACATAAATTATGAAATCTGAGAGAGAGAGAGAGAGTAATTATCATATAAGTAAGCCATAGTAACATTCAAAACATAGAAAAGTAAACAGGTTTCACCTTGTCGTCTTTCGGGTATCTATTCCAAAGATTATCAACAGTTCTGTATGTGTCATCAGCTGATGCTTCTACTAAGCCAGCAAAGATCTCGTTTTTTCCGTGCAATAAATATGACATAAGATCCTTTTCATATTCTGCAAATGAATAGGACCATTCAGGAAGCTTAGGATATAAAGAGACGAAAGAGAAACAAAAAAAAATGTCCGTAAAGGAATTTACCAACGGTTTCAGCAGCGACCTTGTAATATTCCGTTTCAAGGTTTTTCAAAAGCTCCTCAGTGTCAAAATCAGTTGCTTCCGTGACATGTGATAACTCTGTATCCGCCTCAGTAGCATCAAGCAAACCCAAGCTCCGTTCCCATACACCAAAACCATTGATGTTATATAGCATCCGAATAGCTACGATAATAATAGACATGACACAGACACGAGTGGGAAACCTGAGCTCGTTCTTGGATAGATACAAATCCGAAGGCATTGACCAGTTCTGTAAGAGACAAACCAGATGAAGAGCCTTTTCCTTGGCGGGAATAGACAACCGCTCTAGATAGTTTGAAGCAATACCATAGAAATTCACAGGAGGCAAAGGCAAACCGATGATATCGGCAATAGAAGCGGCTTGAGCTTCTAATCTCTGAGCAGAAACAATCTGAATAGGCCTAAACATTACGCTTGCAGACACAGGACACGTAGCTGATGTCTCTCCCATTTGCTCTCGAATCTTGAAAAAAGAAGAAAGATACGGGATCTTTCCTTGTTGTGCCCATCTCACTATATCCGTGGGTAGAATGGGTGATCCTGCTTTGTGACAAGCAAGGAAAGATATGGCCAGGGAAGACGATAAAGGCAGAGACTTTTTAAGCAGACTTAACCAAATCGTTACTGCTCTTTTACCATGTAAGTTGTGAGGTTCTTCGGCTTTACGCCGCTTAACCTTTGACTCTCTTACTTCTCCTGAACACCACCAAAGATTGAAGCGTTAGGAAACAAGAAAAATCAATGGCTGCAGAAAAGGAAAAAGAAAAATGAGAAGCGATAGAGAGAAGAGGCAAAAGGAACCTTTTGATTGGAGCTCGGAGTCACGAATCGCGTTGTCAGCCCAATCATCATCGAAGACCTCTGAGAGAGACACAAACCGTAAGCAGATGGGTCCGACCAAACCAATAATCAATGGCGTCACACTGAATTTCTCCACCAACGCCTCGCACTGATAAGTTATCATCATCAGTAAACCTTTAACGTATCTATCTCTGGTCTCCATGTAATAATCCTCGTAGCTCGAGTTGATTGGCTCTGGTTTTGGTAGTTTACCATGGCGACTGTGTTCTTTTTTATAATCTTCGCAGTCGTCGCCTGTCTTGAAAATACCTTCCACCTGACTAAAGCACTGTCGGCAGTAAGAATACCCATCGTCTTCCTCTTCAAAGGTGTCGTTCTCGCACATATTGCAAATCATCGTCGTTGATGAACAAGGAGAAGATTCGCGTCTGACGAAACTACTCGGGGGCTCAGGATTTAGTTTTCCCAAGGTTATTGTTGTTGACTCTATAAGGATTATGGGCCTTCGATTCTTTTACTAATAAATGGGCCGAAGGCCTGGTTCTGCTCTGTAAGGTTACTATTCATTCTTGCAAACAAGCGTATAGCAATATTTATTCACAATGGTAGGCCTTTCTCTAGTATACTCAGTTCCGTCCTATCCAAGTTTAAGGATCTTTCTGACTCAACAATATACTTTGTTATTGTAATTAGGTCATATTGTCTTACTCAACGTTGGTGCGATGTTTGGGAGTTGGGACGAAAGTAATATATATACAGACAAAATTCTTAACTAGACGTCAGGGATAACCCAAACAAGAAAGAATCAAAATAATAATCATGTCATATAAAACTTAATTTAAACAAATTTTGTTTTTGTAGAGAGTCTCTTCATACATCTTTTATCTTCTGTCTCTTGAACTGTCGCTTTCCCTCGTCTCAGCTGCAACCGCTGAAACTACAGCAGGTTGGTTATACTCGCGGCTTGTGTGCTCCCTCGTGGCTCGTCGTTCCTGCTCAAAGGTATTCTGTGAGCAAATAAACGAGATTTACTTCAAATGTTTAATAGTGATTATAATACTTACATCACGATAGAACAAGTCTTCTGCTTCAAGCATGTGTATAATATGACCCATTTTAGGTCTCTTATTTGCATCCGGATCCACACAACGCAATGCCACGAGTAACACACGTTTAAGAGCTTTTGAAGTTGGCGGTTCAGGTAGTTTTGGATCTACTACTTCCTCAGACCTGCGGTTTCCAACCATTGATTTCAGCCACTCCACCAAATTCACCTAACAAACCGAGACAATCAAGAACCAGTAGAGGAAACGAGCATACAATTTTCGAAAACTTAAATTCCATAGATGAAAGCCATGGATTATAAACTGGCTACCTCTCCTTGAGGTCGACTATAATCAACTGGGTTTCTTCCGGTGATTATCTCCATGATTAATATCCCAAAACTATAGATATCGCTCTTTTCCGTCAACATTCCCGTGCAAGCATACTCAGGCGCAACATATCTACAGAAGAAAACAATCAAGACAAATTTAAATGTTTTTCAAGAATTTGAAATCCTATCCAACTTTGTATGCAAACTAAACAACTTACCCAAAAGTCCCCATTACACGTGTTGTCACGTAACTGCTCTCCGAGAACAACAGCTTAGCAAGTCCAAAATCTGATACCTTAGCATTCCATTGACGATCAAGCAAGATATTACTTGATTTAATGTCCCGATGAACCACTTTTGGTTCAAGACCTTCGTGTAGATACGCCAATCTGTGGGAATATCAACAAAGAAATTACATATAGAAAAAGATGAATTCACAAAATGAAAATGATCAAATATGGTTTCGGAAGTGTACCCTTTCGCCATGCCAAGTATTATGTTCGTACGGATATCCCAAGTCAGAGGACTTTTGTCACCAACATCACCATGAATCCATTGCTCCAAGTTGCCATTATCGACGTAGTCATACACAAGCATTCTAATTTTCCAAAACCATTAGAGTAGAGTTATCACAACATGTATCGAGCAAAGTCCGAAATAAGCATGCGGAATTCGTTTTTTACCTGTATGCACCTTCGACGCAGTACCCTAAAAGCCTAACGAGATTCTTATGCCGTACACGCCCAATGGCTTCCACTTCCACTCTAAACTCCTTCTCCGCTTGACCCCTTCCAACATTATTAAAGACTAATGATCAACATTATACAAATCAAATCAAAAGGGACCCATTAATGACACAACAAGCACATTCCCAGGACCACATTCTTCCCTAGCACAAGACATTGTATAACTAGTCACATAAAATCAAGATCCAGATAGCAAAACATAAGGTATAATCAATCAGACACAATCTTCACGAATCCGAGTAACTACATAAAACCCAACTCATCAGTTCCTAAAGCCCTTATCCAAATGCGAGGAAAGGATCAATTCTGACAATTGGAAAGTTTCAGAAATGCAATGTAAAAATCAAAACTTTATCAAGTACCTGTTGTTGAGCAGGTTCTTGACAGCGACTTTAGTTCCGTCAGTTAAAATCCCACTATACACAATCCCGTAACCACCTTCTCCGATCACATTCTCTTCACACAATCCATTCGTCGCAGCTTCGAGCTCTCTAAGAGTATACCACCTTCCCCAACCAAGATGCGAAACCTCCGGTCCAACACAACCACTCCCTGAATACGAAGCCGTTTCACTAGCACTCACTGTTCCTCTGCTTTCACCACTCGAGACACGACCCGAGAACACAACACGGTGCTCGGTCTTCCCGATGTCGACTTGGATCTCCGCCGCAACGGGATGCGTCGGATGGTAATGGTCTTGCGCAGGAGGTCTAACGATCTCTTGAATCTCTTTGGAAACCGGCGGCGTGGCTACGGCTGCGGATGCGAAATCGGCGTGACGTGGCTTGCGATGTCTCCGGCGAGAGGTTAAACAAAGGGAGAGAAAGAAGAGAGCGATGACTATAAGAGATCCCAGCAAAATCCCGATGACGACCCAGAGCTTCAGACCAAAGATCGATGTTGGTTTGGATAGCTCGTCGTTGATGGAATCAGGATTGAATAAAGATATCGTCATAGAATGATTCGATTAATGGGTTTTCGCATAACTAGCCGGAAAAAGAATAAACTTTCCGGCGAATCAATGGATATGGATAATAATAATAATAATCAGTTGCATGTGGCTGGTATGCAAAATAACGAGAAAAAAAACAGAGAGAGAGAAGAATCGAACAGAACCGGAAACAGGGGATTGAGTAAAAACAAAGAGACGAATAAACAAATTCAATCGAATAATAAATTAAAAGTTTTTTACAATTTTGAAGGAATTTAAAGAATCGGCTCTCAGTGTTGTCTGAGATAGAGAGAGAGAGAGAGGAGAGTGTGTTGGAAATGGGTGATGAGCTGTCTGATTCTATCTCTCCGTGTTGTGTATCAGCGCAATGTTTAGCGACGGCGACGTTAATTAAATGGCGATTTTACCCTTTTAGGTTAGCCGAAAATGCAGTGAGACCTACGTATTCCCGAGGGGGTTTGTTTGTAATTATAACAAACGATTAGATGACGAACTACTGTAATTACAAATTACAAATTTTTTAATCCTACAAAATCATTTTGTACTAATACAGATTTACTTATTTAAGTTGACTTTGATATTTAAAAATAATGTAATTCCTCTCTGTTATGTTAGTTTGATATCAAATAAAAAAAATGGATTTTTAAGTCGAAGCATATTTAAGGGAGCATTTAATATCGATTTTTGTTTTTTTTGAGAAAAAGGAATCACTTTTGTTAAACCGAAGAGACTTATTAGTCACACTAGATAGTTGCATCAATAACATTCGTTTGTTAAATGTATGATTCCCAATTTGGACCCTTTATAACTTATTGTATTTTGTTTTCTTCTTTCGAACTTGAGTGTATTATTTTTTAACTGTTTAAAGGCCACATACATATTATCACACTAGACGACGTCTAGATAAGGATGAGAAGCTACACTAGATGGAAGATGTTTGTATTGTTGCCAGTTCAGCATTCCATTTGACACAAAAAAAAAAGAAAACAAAGGGAAAAAGAAAGAGAATATATATTTTTCTTTCATTCTTTCGTTAAATAATAAAAGTAGTGCCTTTAAAATAATGAGTAAAATTGTTAATGGGTAAGAACTTTAGTCTGTTTAATTTTTTAAAAAATTGTAATGGTCAAGAACCCATGAGGGTAAGTTTCAAATTATATTTTAATGTAGTTTTTGGAATTCTCTGTCCATATCAAGGCAAAGAGATACAACTATAAGCTAAATTTTAATTTAATGCTTGGATTCACCAAACACAAAAAGCTTTTAGGTTTTATGATTTTTTAACAGGTTAAGATTAACCCATGTTCAAGAAGGTTGCTTTTAAATGGTAAATATAATTATGAAAATAGATTATATAAAGAAAGAAGAGAAAGATTCTGGTTGACAAAAAAAAAAAAAAAAAAGAAGAGAAAGATAAGGTTGGGGAAAAAGGAGAAAATCCATTATTACACTATCATAGCAAGAGGTTTCTAGTTTCTCTTGATTCTATCATTCTTATAAGATTTTTGCCTAGTTTCCTCTGCTTTTTGTTTAAGAAACTGTCTTCTTTCGATTTTCGCTTGTATTTTAGTTCGTTTATCTTTGTTTCCCTTTGTTTGGGTTTAGTTTCTGGGGAATTTCATGTTTCTTCCGGTTTTGTCTTTGAATACTTTTAGTTATCCGCTAGCTTCTGTTTCGCTTGTTTGGACATTTGTAGTCTTACCTAGTTCCAAATCAAGTTTTTGATAAAATTTCTAAGTTGACAAAAAAAAAAAGCAAGAAATGTATTCTTTCCTCAAATAAAATTAACTATCATCTTGTCGCATACATAGGTTTGTCGAATGCTTTTGTACCTTCTTTTGCGCGACCAAAAAATAATAATGCATCAATCGTCGTCTGATTTATCTGATTCCGATGTAGATTTGTTAGTATTCAAAAGAAAAAAACAAAAAAGTTTACAAAATTATGCCATGTTCAATAATTCTGTATTGCTGATTCCGACGTTGAATAATCTCGCATCTTTTACACGATTCTGTGGGACTCTGCTAGTAGTAACACAAATCATACAAGCTATGTCACTTTCGAAACCACTTTTTACTCTATACTCCGAGGGGAAAAAAAATGGTTGATGATGGGTTGGAATGGATCATATCGAACAGTGAGTGGTTCCACCTTTAAAACACACAAAACTAGTAGTAGTAACTAAGAAAAACCCATTGTAAAAGTAAGAGCAAACAAAAGAGGCCTGTCCCTATATTGTTTTTCACTTTTTTTTTTTTTGGGTTTAATTTTCACCTTAAAAGTCATTTGTCCGTACAAGAGACCGGAAATATACGGACTTAATCAGTCTTCTTCTCATCTCCATCGATGGCTCGAAGCCTTTCAACAAGAGGAGGATGTGAGTAGTGGTAAGCCGAGTACAATGGATCAGTGTTCATTGCTGATAAGTTCTCTTCCTGCAAATCCCAAACAGGAAAACTTTTTAAGTAATGCAGGCAAAAATCGAAGAAACATTCTTTGTTTCTGTTCTTGTCTTCTCTCACCTGTAATTTCACTAGAGCAGGACGAAGATCTTTTGCATAGCCAAGCTTTACAGCAAAAGCATCAGCCTGCCAAAAGGAACATTGACTCACATTAGTGATGAGGCTGGCAATGAAAGATAGAAATTATGATTGGATCATCAGGGATTGTAAGATTTTACCTGAAACTCAAACGCTCGACTAACAAGGTTGAGGCCAAAGCTTACTAGATGTTGTAGTGGTATTACAGTGTGCTGTGATAATCAGACAGGAGATAATAAGACACGTTTAGAGATTTTCTTTTGTTACTTTCCTTCTTGAATTATGAGTTTTGAGTGTCCAAATGAAAAAAATAACAGACCTGAAATATGATCAAACCAATGAGGACCGGCTGTGTGTCAAATCCAAAACTCCTGAAGAGATCAGTGGAGTTTCTGACAAGAGTGTATCCACCAAATTGCAAGAAGGCAAGGATCTGCAGTAAAACATTGAGAGAGGGTCATAAGACATTAATTCTTTAGTGAAATGTGTATATGAATAAACAAGTGTTTGAAGGCTCACTTGAACTGCAATGAACGAGTACGTAGTGTGATTCAGTTTCCAATGTCCAAGCTCGTGTGCAATAACAGCCACAATTTCATCCTCATTCTTGCACTATACAAACGATGGATTATTTTTATGTTTCAGAACCAAAATCAGAAAGTAAGTACAGGTCGCTTGAAGAATCCAACAAAGTCACAGTACCTGCTGAATCAATGTATCATAAAGGACAATCCTTTTGTTCTTGAAGAAACCATACATGTAAGCCTGTACGATGTAACAAGAAACATGAGCTTCTAATGGTATTCTAGAACAGAAGGCATGAAGAGATCTCAAGCCTTTAAGTTTCTCACATTGCTATGGCTTGACCTTGTAGATCCATCAACTACAAACAGCTTCTTCAGAGGAAACTTTAGAGAAGAAGCAAGTTTCTCAATTTTCTCCCGGAGGTCTCCATCTGGAAGCTATACCCACATATAGTAGATGATTAAGTTATCTGATAATAATAACATAACACAAAATATCATAGATTTTAATAAAATGGCCATGACAGAAATACTCACAGGAGTGAACTTGTTGAAAAGCGGTGCTATCAAGACTGGGTATATAGTCATCATCACTAGAGACAGAATAAACATGAATGCCCACAGGTAGATGGCAAGATAAGGACCTCCTTTCTGGAAAAATATTAAAATTCCATGGTCAGAGAAATAAATTATATATTTCTAACACGAAACTTTGAAGCTTACATTCATTGAAGAATAGTCATCTATGTGAAAAACGCAGAAATAAGATGAAACAAGAATCAACAAACCTGGACTATAAAAATTATCGCTGCAACAATGGGTGGGCCTAGTATGACAGAGAGAAGTGTTCCTTTGATCATGTCCCTAATGAACATCCATATTGTTTGCTGTAAACAGAAATTAAAGGCAAATTTAATCCACAACTCTAATAAAGAAACAATAAGTCACAAGGTAGTGTTGAAAATACAACATACTTTGTTGAATCCATGCCGAGACTCAATCACGAAAGTTGAGTACAAAGAAAATGGCAAATCAGTGATCTGCATCAGAAGATAATAGAAATATTATTATCTTATGATAGTTTCATGATCCTAAACGTATAAGACTATATGAGGGGTTAGGTTGAAAAACCTGTGACCATGTCATAACACCAGCCAAGAACGAAAGAGTATGCAGTATTTCATTCTCTGGATCGAGGCCCAGCCTCGGTAGAACAGCTCCAGATATCTAAGTTAAAAATGGATGTTAACTATTTGAATATAAGAACTTTATATTCAAAAGGAGATACTATATACTGAAACCAGATATGTACCTTCCAAAACCAAGGCAAGATCCCAAAGAACAAAATTGCTGAGTCCATAAGTATAGTCACAAACTCATGAACAAAGTGAAAGTAGCTGTAAAAAATGAAACATCCTCAGTGAGAATAGCCTTGGCGACTGTCAGAAACTGACAGGAGATATATAAACAAGACGAAACCTTTTGTCAAGACTGTATGCTCGTGATTTCTCAAACTTCTCTTGGCTAATCACTCCAACCAAAGTTTTCGGGAGAGTTGGAAGCTTGAGAGCAGTGAGTTGCCTCAGATCCAAATAAGTCTCAAAAATGTACATCACTATCATAAAACCTGAAAGATAAACAGAAGATGAATATGAATGCAAAAACAACAGAGAAGCTAAGTTTCTCACGACATCAGTTTTATTTCAACAACATCTTCTACTTTCCGATCAACCAGGTATAAGTTTGACTATTTTTTGCCAAGCGTATACCAAAGGCTCCTAAAACATGGATCTCTTATGGGAACGTTGGAGCATTGAAAGAGTTTTGATGCAGCTATCCATATTCACAAAACAGTTCCACAACACTAAACCCATTTAGAAAACAACTCTAGAAAACCCTAGTTGCTTTCAGGAACATAATAAACCATAAGATTTGCACAATAACTCTAGCTGTTTGACTTCAACAAAGAAAAATTTCAAGATGTTCTCATATTCAGAACGGGAGTGAGGCAAAAAGACTCCGACTTTTCTACCCAAAACCCTAAATTTTGTTGAACAGAGAAGCATAAATAAGGCTCCGTACACTCTCATACGAGAGGAAAATATCAACGAAACCTCAGATCAAACGCACAAGTAAGACAAGAAACATTTCGACTAACAAAACCTCAGATCAAGATACAAAATAGCTGAAAAAAGCAAACTTAGAAACGAGAAGCAGAGACGATGGTGTATAGTACCAGTCATGGAATCTCAACACAGACAACAAAGAAAGCAAAACCCAAAGGAAAGAGAAAACGCAATGCGACGAGGGTACCAGGAGATTAGAATGTCTCCGGGAAGGTTCTGAAACTTACCAACGACGGTTTCCATGAAAGGAATCGCCATGGCTGACAAAAACGAGTAACCTGAGCCGCGAAGAAAAAGAAGCAAATCGAAGAAAAAACGAGAGAAACAAAATGCAGCGACAAAGGTTGAGACTTGAGAGACGGGTCGGTGAGATTGATATGTAAAACGACAAAAATACGGGTACGGGTTACATAACCTCAATTGCACAAATAGTAATCGGGCTGGACTTTAGGCCCATTTTAATGAACCATCCCTATATTTTATTTAATATCTCTTGTGACCCCATAAAATACTATTATCACAAAATCTCCCCTGGTTCATTTCAATCTTATAAATATTGGGGGCTTTAATGATACATATTCTATTTTCCGGGGACTCAACAAGAAAATCCTTATCCTCAAGGCTCAAACCATCGAACAAATTACAGAAGGTGCCACTGGTTATCACAATAACGAGCGCCGAGAGCTCAGTCATCTACTCATCTCCTGCAACATTATCCACTTGGAGCTTCGACCATGGCATCTCCTTCGCTTCTGCAGTCTTCTGCTTCTTCGTTTCACGGCCGTTTTCCTCAATTAGCGGCTCCATCCTCCGCTCGGATGCTCTCTGCGCCGCTCAGAAACGTGGTGAAAGTCTCGGCGTCCGGAACTGTGCTGGTCGAGAAATCTGAGGCGGAGAAAACTCAGCGGCTCAAAACAGCTTACCTCGAGAGGATTATCCCTGCGCTCAAAGAAGAGTTCAAGTACGTTAATATTCACCAGGTAACCCCAAATGCTTCCCTCTGAGCTCTCAAACCTAGTTTTTGTTCTGTTGTGATTCATGATGTTGCTGAACTCAAATTCTCTTTCAATTTGGATTTTCTGAGGGAATGCTAGACTGGGTTCTACGAATGTCGTATCTGAAGATATTTGTGATGGATTTGTATTCGTTTCACATAATTTGCCTTCCCTGGAAATATTTGTGGCTTTTTGGATTGATTAATGTAGTTTCTTTTGTGTTGACAAAAAGGTACTTGTTGAGATATTCCGGTTGAAATTTTGTATCTTGTTGTTCCATATTCAACTTGAAGTCTGACCATATTGTGCTGTTTGGATGTGCTATTTTCAAATGTGAATGCGAAGTGTCAGTCTCATCTTTGCTTGGACATCTTCTCGACCAGGTTCCAAAGGTACAGAAGATTGTTGTCAACTGTGGTATTGGAGATGCGGCGCAGAACGACAAGGGTTTGGAGGCTGCAATGAAAGATATTGCGCTTATTACAGGGCAGAAACCTATCAAGACACGAGCTAGAGCTTCCATTGCTACTTTCAAGATCAGGGAAGATCAACCTCTTGGTATTGCCGTCACTCTCAGAGGAGATGTGAGCTCCCTTCTCTTCCTCATTCTTGAATCTCAGACTTATCAAACTTTCATATTGAGTTCTTTAAGCATTAGAGATTTGTGATTTTGACTGTTGTGACAGGTAATGTATTCCTTCTTGGATCGTCTTATCAATTTAGCCCTTCCGAGAACTCGAGATTTCCAAGGTGTGAGTCCCAGTAGCTTTGATGGGAACGGAAACTACAGTATTGGTGTGAAAGACCAAAGTGTATTCCCTGAAATCAGGTCAATTTCTTTTGTATCTACCCTTAAAAGCATCAAATGCATGAAACTTCTTAGCCACTAGTACATCAGAACCAAGCATTGATTCGCTTTAGTCCAGTCTTTGGTTACAACTCGAACAACTAAACTGTATGTTGGTTGGTTATTACACTTAGATTTGATGCCATTGGAAAAACGAGAGGAATGGATGTATGCATCAGCACAACAGCTAAAAGCGATCAAGAAGGACAGAAACTATTGGCTCTGATGGGAATGCCATTCAGGGAAGGAGGTGGTGGCAACACAGGCGCGATAGTGCGGAAGAAGAAACTAAAGTCTCATCATTTCGATGCTAAAGGCAAAGGAAAGGGAAAGAGATGAACATAGCTGCTGCCTATTGTATGTATTGTCCGTCTTCTGTAACCATTTCATGTTTCAGAAAACCCCTTCCTTTTTGTAATGTTTTTGTTGCATGCTCAATTCCCTTACTTATGATGATCAAAATCGTGAGTTAATTTTATAATATCAGGATGTGATAATTCTTCCTTTTATCACATGTAGCATTCATTAGCAAAGTAAAATATAGATTAAGGTAAATTCTGTAATTCTAGAGAGTTTGTGGGAACATTTGGAATTATGCAAAATGAGTTTAGCGCGTGAATTTGCGTGAGAAGGTGGCGCGTGGGATGTCAATATTGCACCTTCCTCATTGAGAGAAATCTCTCCTCGTCTCTCTCTCTCTTCTTTGCAAGACTTCGTTTTCTCTCATTCGATCTTTCTCTCTTTTTTAATTATTCATCAATCGATCAGAAAAAAAAAACACAGCAAGAGCTAAAGTAACTTTTTGCAGATCGGAACCCTAATTTGTTGTTCTCCTTTGTTCTAGAATCCGCGACATCTCTCTCTCTCTCTTTTTTTTTTTCGTTTTCTTTCTATATTATCTTTTCAGATGGATTCTGGAATCTCTGTAATTCCCCATTAGCGCTAAAAACCCTAGCTGTCGAAGACCTTAAATTACTGCAGGAAACTATCATTTTCTCCCGATTTGAGGTTTTTGGATTCGGAACTTTTGATTTGTTGGGTGAGAATTTGGGGGCTTCTTCACAATCAGAATACGAGATTAGCCTTCTGACTTTAGGATGAGCTAGATTTTTTTTTGTTTTTTTTGGTGTAATTTCTCTTTGAGTTTTTATCAGTTGTGGTTGAAAAATCTTAGAAAGACAAACTTGGATTTCAGTACTGTACATATAGCTAGATCGTGACGACGACCTGATGAAGTTGATGCTGGTGAATCGTGGGGTTCTTTTTTAAGTTTTGCTAGTTGTGATCATGCTGAGTATTACTGGTGGTTACTAGACAGAGCCGAGAATATTTTAGGAGCTGTAATACCGAATTCTAAGAAGATTTGCGTTTTGGGGGTATTTACTATAGACAACTACTGTAGAGTTACTTGATTAAGGCGTTGAGAACAGATACCGGAGTTTTTCATTTCCTCAGATCAGCTAAGATATTGTGTATCGCTTGCATTCTATAATGAGTCTAGCAAATGAACAACAATTTCCTATGGATCAACTTGTTGATACCAGTGATGAATCGAGAAAGTATGTTTATTTTGTTTGTAAATCATGTCTTTCTTTTGCTTCTCTTTGTAATTATCGGCGCAGCTGTAATTTTCTTTCGCATTGAATCAGGCAACCAAGAATTCAATACACGAGAAAGTTTCTTTTATCCCTGAGCGAGAAAGATGTTTCCAAGAAGCTCCCTAATCTGCCCAGTGAATTTGACGAAGCACTGTTGCTGTGAGACTCTATTCAATAGTTTGTTTTTCTGCAAACTGTATAAATGTGATTGATCATGTTGTCGTCTTATCTACTACACAGTCTGGTTTGGAGTGACATGTCCTCATCTGTACACTCTTTGTTTGAGCAGTGACTTCGAAGATCCTTCACCCGAGCGAGCGAGAATTTCGGGTGATTTTTCCTCCCATGGTTTCAGGCGGAATGACTATAGTTCATCGCCTCCCACCAGGGGTGAATTTGGTAGTAACTCTCGAGGCATTCATGGAAGATGGGAAGGGCGCTCAGGTGGATGGAATGATAAAGATAGTGATTCACACTCAGACCGGGACTCAGGTAGCCTGAGCCTACTCGTATCCCATTCTTTACATGCTGTATGATGACGTTACTACAGTAACAAGGTGGATTAGTACTCTGAATAGTACCTTGTTGTCATCTTTGATCTATAAAATACCCTTACGATTTATTTCTTTTTGCAAAAGGTGTCGCATATTATGATGTAATCTCTATCCAGCTGGCTGTTCAATATGTGTAAATGTAGATTCCCATTTATCAACTAAAGCGAATGGCATGAAGTCAGCTTTCTTTGTGAACATGAAAAGTAGGCCTTAGCGAAAATATCTGGAATTTCGGTGTATTATAGTTGATTTTGAATTGTATTTTTTGTTAGGAGAGCCTGGAAGGCGTTCTGGTATGCCATCTCGGAGGCCTTGGCAAGCACCTGAGCATGATGGACTTCTGGGGAAAGGTTCTTTCCCTAAGCCTTCTGGATTTGGTGCAGGAACATCTGGCCCCAGACCTCAATCTAATGACTCACATCAGCTGAGTAGAACCAATGAACCTTACCATCCTCCTCGCCCATACAAGGTTATGTGCCTAAATATCTGCTGTAGTCATCTTGAATAGCCTCTGGTACCATTGATTGTTGTATGCTGCTCCATTACGAGACTGTCTTTTATCAGCTGGTTTATGAGGTGTATTTGAGTAAATTTGAATGAGTTAACGGCACAGATTCCTAAATATCTCATGTACATTTGTAGGCGCCACCTTTCACCAGACGTGACACTAGAGACTCACTCAATGATGAAACATTTGGTTCTTCTGATTCTACTAGCGAAGATAGAGCAGAAGAAGAAAAACAAAGAAGAGGTACAGGGGATTTATTTACTTTGTTATGTCCTTAACTTAGCCCTCTGCCAGTTTATGAGCATCATTCAGTTTCTCCATGCGTTTCTTTTTGTGTCATTCTTAAATTTACATTCTCAACTCTCCGTCAGCTTCTTTTGAGTTGTTGAGGAAGGAACATCAGAAAGCATTCCAGGAAAGGCAAAAATCAAACCCAGACCTACGTAAAAACGACTTTGACTTTACCGAACTTCTTGGGGAGTCCAAAGAAGAAAAAGGGCGTTCAACCCCAAGTAGAGGCGATGAAGTCAATAATACTCCAACAATTCCTGGTCCTAATAACACCTCTTTTCCTTCTCAAAGTGGTGCACCCAGACCGCTTGTGCCTCCTGGTTTTGCAAGCACAGTTTTGGAAAGAAAACAAGGGGAAAAAACTCAAGTAAGTCGCTATCTTTCTGAGACCCTCATCCATTCCGAATATCTCTTGTTTAAGAAGGTTACAGTTTTTGTTTGCGCGTTGATTGTTAAAGTCCTAAGGCTAGCGAAATCCCTGAAGAAAAATCAAAGTAGAGGGTACTTTGTATGATAATATCAATTTTTTTCCCTTTAAGGTACAGAGTGTAGAAGTGGCTTTCTTATAGAATTAGTTGGAGAGGGAATACGTTACCAGAACTTAACAAGTCATGATAGAATGATTATCTGTAGTTCATGACAGTAAAGTCATAGAAACATCTCATTCCTAGTTCTTCTGTCAAGTCACAAGCTTTGAACTTACTTTTTGGATTCTATTTTTTAGAGTAAGGGAATGGAGGGGTAGGGTAGATTATTATATTGAGGTATAGAGTAGATTATTGTATGGGAATAGAGTATATTAAAAATCTCACTAAAAAATCCCAGGATACGGGCTGATACCTTCCATCTTTGTTATCATTTGTTCCTTCGATAATGTCTTTGTTGGGTGTATATGACCAAGGCTGCGGTCGCTTGAGGGTTGAAGTTTGAATGTGGTGACTTTTTTGTTTTAACTTATCGTTTCTTAGTAAATATTTTATTTGAATGTATTGGTCTGATTAGTACTCTGATTTGCTAAGCATTCCACTATCTTTGGTTGCACCTATTAATTACTGGTTATGACACCATTTGCAGACTGAAACTTCTCAACATGAGCGTAGTCCTTTAAATTCCAAAGGCATTAATGTGGTGAATGGAACATCTATTAATAATGGGGAAAAACTGTTGGGAAATAAAATAGGCTCAAGTGAGATGCTGATAGAAGGTGAAGATGGTCGCGTCTCCTCCACTGATCCAAGTGAACGGGCTGTTAATATCTCCTCATTTCTTGGAATATCTACAGATACAGTTCATAAGGATAATAGTTTTGAAAAGCTTTCCTTCATCTCAACACCTGCTGAAACTCAGGGGTATCCTAAGAAAAGTGAGCAAGCTACGATGACGTTGGACAAGAAGAAAAGCTTGGAGATTTCAGAGGGGCCATCAATTCTGGATAAGATATTCAACACCGCTATAAATTTAAATACTGGTGACTCTTCTATTATTACTGAGGTGAGTTTTTTCTAATGTCACAGCTCGTGTATCCTTGGAACTTAAAAATTATACTCACATGATAGCTCTTCCACTTATGCTAATTTTCATGAATCTGGTTATAATTATGCACTCCATTTTTGGTCCAAAAGATGTGTCCTTTCTGATGTAGTTCCCTCTAACCAGTCATAAATGAGACTCTTCCCTATATTTTGTATTGATCGGGAAAAATGAAGGATAACATAGTTTGTCTTTTCTCTTAGTAAGCAAATGGTCGTCCATGTGTTATATAAACAAAATTGAATGCTTTGTCCTGAGGAAATGACTGTTTGTTTACACATATTTAGACTCGTTCATGTACATGCATCATCTATGCACTGTGGAATTTGAAGAATCTCATTTGACCTGAGATTCCACATCTTTGTAGAAAAATGTCGAAAAAGTAGAAGAAACACGGAGTCCTCAGATCGCTAAGTCCTCCAAGTTCGCACATCTATTTCTTGAAGACGGTAATATACTCACTGTTATGCTAGAATTGTAATGTTTTTCCATTCTAATGTTCTTTTTTTGGTGCAGATAACAAACCAGTCGAAGATCTCCCATCCAGTGGGCCACCAAGAGGCTTACTGTCACTACTGCAAGGTGCAGATAAGTTGCAAACCTTTAATACAAAAGCAAAGGGTGAACTATCATCGGATTTTCCTTTTCAAAGCCATTCCACTAAAAGCACTGATCAGTTAAGCAACATTTCCACAAGTAAACCAGTAACAGCTGTTCCACCTGTTCTCACGTGTGAAGACCTTGAGCAGTCTATTCTGTCAGAAGTCAGTGATAGCTATCATCCACCTCCGCCACCAGTTGACCAAGACTTGAGTGTTTCTTCAGTAAAAAAGACCAAACAACGGAAAACATCTGTTGATGACCAGGCTTCGCAGCACCTTCTTTCTTTACTACAGAGAAGTGCAGACCCAAATAGTCAAGATATGCAGCTACTTTCAGTTACAGAGAGGAGACCAACACCTCCATCTGTGAAATCAACTACAGCTGGAGAAGCAGAACCAGGGAAGTCGTTAACTCTTGAGAATCTG